TTGCAATGCTGATAGATTTTGCAGCCACTTGGCACTAATCTTTTCACTTAGTGTTAATAGATTTTGCTGCTACTAAGCGCTAATCTTTTAATCTTCAAGTAATACTTCAACGCACACTATTATAGTGCATGAAATTTTGCTCCATCCACTCCCAATAATTGGGTAGAGAGCAAAACACTGCTCATACTGGCTACTTGTCTTACACTTAATGACTAATTTATTTAAGGTCACATTTCTTGGATGACGTGACTCTTGAATGTTACTTCATCTAATGATGTAACATTATTTACAAGTCAAATTACAAAGTCAATCCGCACAGCTCAATAGTCAAGATCATATACAGATCTATTGAGGGCTTACTAATTTCATAACTCCAAAACTCGCCAACCAAAACTACGTAGCGTGCCGCTAACCGTAGCGCACACATTAGTTTTTATTATGCCAAACAAGGCAACAAAACAACGACGACTTTGAGTCATGTTTCCTTACTTTGGCTCAATTAAGACTTGACCTAAAGTCTCCAAGACTTTTGCTCATCTAAAAAATGAGATTACATTGTTCATATTTGAACATCTTTACTAAGTCTAGGTCAACCAATTAACTTCCATAAGCTAAGTCAATTTAGAGAGAAATTCGAATTGGGATTAATTTGATTAGCATAATATAATTTTGCCGCAAAAATCTAAATTAAATAGTGACAATATTACACAAGTCGCAAGATCGAAAATCTGCTATGCTCGTAATCATCTCTTGCACCACAGGTGACAATTATCCAAAATTCAATTTAATTTATGCGAAAAATATTAGTTTTCGGGAGTAAATCTACAAAGATTTATCTCAACCGAACAACCTCCCACTAACTATGGCATGTTTAAAAGCATGATAAAAAATCATAATTCCATACAATAACATCATAATATAGATTCACAATCAATACATGCTATGTTACATTTAATAACGGAATTAAAATAAAAAATAATTAATCATGCTATTCTAATCACTACATATTACAAACCCTAAAAAAAATAATATGCTGTATTGAATATTCAAGTTATGCCATAACAGAAACTGTATCACTTCTAAAATTTTCTAGAATTTTTCTGAATTTTTCTGGAATTCTAAATAACTAATAAACACACATTAAATTAGAAATAAAAAATTTCAGAATCTGATAAACTGAAAAAATTATTCTAGTAAATAAAAAAAACATTTCAGAAGTCTACAATAAAAAATTCAACCCCAGAAAATAATTTATGCAATACCCGAAGCATTTTAAAACATAAATAATGAATTATAATCACAAGAAAAATACTTTTTATTTTCATAAGATTTTCAAAATTTTACAAAAAATAGAAAATATAATTCTGAGTCTAACGGTACTAACCACGCTTAAAACAAAGCTATAACGAATTAATTATGACAATTTAACGCGATTCAGAATTAAAAACAAAACAAACAGAGCCTTAGCTTCAGCAGCCAAGCCGGCGGAGAGAAACGGCGCGGCTCAGCGCCCGGCTCATCTGCGGCTCAGCGCAAGGCCCAGCAGGCGGCTCAGAAGTCGGCTCAGGACGCGGCTTAGAGAACGGCCCAGCGAGCGGCTTAGCGCACGGTGCGCGTGCGTGGCGCGGACAACGCGTAAGTGGATAGCGCGGCTGACGTGCGTCTAAGCGCGTGTATTGTGCGCTTGGCGCGTGGGAGTGCGTGGAGGCGCGTGGAATCCTCCCACGGCGTCAGGTGGCGCGTGAGGCCCACGCTCCGCCTTCTAGGGTGTTTTCTGGTTCGATTTTTTTACTGTCAGATTCCATTTTTCACAACAAAAACATTTATGGCATTAAAAATAACATTTAATGAACATAAAAATGAAGATCTATCACATTCTCAATCTAATTTTCATGCATAAAATGTGTATGTATATTTGTATAAAATTATACACATATTTTATCGCATACAAATAAGCACGAAAATACCCATATTCGGCTCTGATACCAATGTAAATCATAAAGCATTATAAATTAACGCAGCGGATAAAAAATAATTCGGATCATACCTTAATGACACAATCTCGTGAATAAATCACGTGCTTCCAAAATCTGATCAGCCAACGAACCCAACAATGGAGTGATACTACAAAATGAGTATCACCCACACAAGTCACAGTGCAAAATGGCTTGATCGTTGTTTAATGGGAGAGAATCAGAGAGAGTCTAGAAAAAAGGTTATGGGTAAAACCCATATATCGTATATCTAATATACGTATCTGATTTTTAATATATTAGATTAACCATATAATCTGATATATAATCAATATCTATCTATCCATCTATCCATATCTATTGATATGATAGATATAGATATCTTGAATGGTTATCCAAATAAATTTTGAATTCAAATTCAAACTTACATGGATAAGGTTCAAAAGGTTCAGGTTCAAAAGATTCAAAGGATCATACCACATGGGCGCCCAATTTCTAACATACCCCACCTAGAAAATTAATGTTTGCATCTCTTTGACGCATATATTTGTTTATAAAGTTTAGGGAAAACATTAAAAAAATAAAAAGATGATAGAATAGTTTAAAATTTATGAAAGTATAAGTAGCTCATGCGGTAATTTATGCAAAATAATAATAATAATAATAATAATAATAATAATAATAATAATAAGGTTATATTTTTATATATTTGAAATTATTTTCTAATCTTTTTACTTTTTTTGATATTTTCTCTAAAGTTTCTTGTAAGTCAATGACACATAAATAAAGGACTTACGTGTATGTTTTAATAGGTGGACTTATTATCTAATAAGTCTTGTTAATATTTTTTCCATCAAACACTATTAAAAAAGTTACTAATTGTTAATTTTCAGCCACAGTTTGAAAATTTTGTCACAAAAAATGTCATTAATTATAAGTTTTGGCGATAGTTTAAAAAAATCATCCTACAAGAAGTCACTAAATTTTAACTTTCAGTAATAGTTTGAAAAATTCGTCACAAAAAATGTCACTAATTGTAAATTTTATGACAATTTATAAAAATCGTGGCAAAATAAAGTAATTAATTGTCAATTTTTAATGATCTATATAAAAAATCGTCACAAAAATATTAATTTTAATGACGATCTTATTAAAACTTATTTTTAATAAGATTTGATTAAAATTAAATTTAACAATTAAAACCTATTGATAATTTACTCAAATAAATAATAATTACAAAGAGCTGCAAGTAGATACTTATTATGTGCGGTGGTAACTAAAACCTGCCCACTATTTTGAATTTCTTCCTCCAAAATATTTTGCATACTTGGGTCAAATTTGATAATTGATTAAAATAGTTATTAAAAAAAAAATAACAAGAAAAAACATTAAAAAGTTAATTCAAAATGAGCACTTAAAAGCCCAAAATGCCCATATTATCAGCTAGATATGTCAATTTGAGAAATCTCATTTTATCTTTTAAATTATCATTTAAAAATCAATTTAATCCATATTTTTTTAATAATATTTGGCTTGTTTGGTTTGTAAATTCTAAATTTACTTTTCAGAAAATTAAACCTTTTTATTTTACTGGTCTTTTTATTTTTACTTAATTTTTGCAATATTTTCAGTAATTTTTATTTTTAGATATACCTAACATAAATACACTTAAAAAATATAATTTTTTTGATAAAAATCACTAAATACAAAAAATATAAAAAAAAAAGAGTACATTTTTCATATTTTTGTGTATTTATTGATGTTTTTACAGATATTTTACTTTTAAAATATATCTAAGTAAGGTACATCTAAAAAAGTAAAAAAAAAATTACTTAAAATTTTAAAAATATTCACTAAAAACAAAATAAACACTAAAAATAAAAGAAATCAATTTCTAGAAAATTAAATGTAGAAAATTGTAACCAAAGTGATTAATTTTATGCCTAACTATTTGATTTTGCATCAATTTTACTCTATCGTTAATTGCCGCCTATAATCAAATAGAAGTTGTTTATGTGACACCTAAATTTCATTTGAAATTTCATTTTATTTCTCAAATTATCTTCAAATTATCAATTAAATTCCTGAAAAAAATAAAGTTTGGGGTCTAATTGATATTTAAGAGATAGTTTGAGGGATAAAATAAAATTTTAATGTCACATCAACACTTTTAGTTTGATTATAAACGACAGTTAACCATGAGGATAAAATTAATCTAAAATTAAAAAAATAAATAAATATAAAATTGATATTATTAAAATAATAAAAATTAAAATAATTTTGAATGATAATTTAGAGAGCAAAATAATATATGTTTGGAAAGTAGATTTTTGGCTTTTTTTAGGTTAAAAAAATAAAAAATAAAAAATAAATTATGTTAAAAAAGTCAATAAGATAAAATATCACATCATATTCATAATCATTTCACTTTTTCTCTCACAAATATCATATATAATTATAAAAAAAATTAATTATCTTCTCTAACACAAAAATTTTAACTTATTAACTAGCCCATTGTGGGACAATTCCATACCCTCGCAACAAAAACAAAAACAAAAAAACAAAAACCGTCGGCAAGGGGCCGCGTATGTGTGACATTCCATTAAACTCCTACCTCAACGGATAAATTCACAGCTAAGCAAACACGTAGCACCCCACACCTCATCGGATAACAACAACCATAAACGGCCACGATTTCTCCACGTTTAATCATGACCTGTCATCTCACGGTGGTGGTCCCTCCACCCGACTAGATTAGGATAAGATAGCAACATAAATAGATTATAACAAAAAAATTTAAAAGTAAAAACAATAAAAAATAATCAGAATATTCGAGTTCATCCAAAAAATTTAATGTAAATCAAACGACCCGAGACTTACGTGGATCCTCGCTGTATGGATCCCACCGTATTAGACTGTCCTCATAATTTATTGCCACGTGGATGACAGCTTCTCTGCATGTGAGCCACGTAGGACAATGTGGGTCCCACTAAAGGGTTTGAGGGATCACTACATAAAGGAACCACATGGTGATGATAAGTGGAGAAGTGAGCCAAATTTTGAAGCTCAGTGTATTTAGGCCATGGCCGGAGCAACGGGAAGAATTCCGATGAGTCGCCGGATTTTGATGTGTGATAATTATGAAATTAAGCATTCTGGTGAGTCTGCAATGAGTTTGTCTGATACAATTTTTGAGTTTCTTGATGAATGCTGTGATGGATCGACTGAAACTACTTATAGTCATTGCTATGGTGAGAATGAAGAAATAGATGAAGATGATGAGAAAGAAAACACTAAAAATGGTGAAGATAACAAGGCTTTCTGGGAAACCCAACACCAACTTCTACATGTAAGTTGCAACACTTAATTTTATTAATTTCTCAAAGAAAATCATGATATTTTTTAATAAATCAAGTACAAATGACAACAATTGACGGGACTTTCGTTAAAATAAAGTTGGGTAATGATAAGATGTATGTAATCTTACTGTTATTTTAAATAGATTATTTCTGTGTTTTTAACTCATGCCACTAAAAACGTTAATGACAAGTCTTACTGTTGGATCAACTCACCCTTTCAATCAACTTGAATTGATTTAAACTAGTGTCTTGAAAACAAGAGTTATAGTAAGGTGACAACAATGTTCGAATCCCATCGATTAAAAAAACGAAAAAAATTATCCTTGGACCAGTTGGCATATAGAACTTAGAGAAATTTTAGCATATTACAAAATAAGTCAGGTTTTACATAATCGTCCTCCCAAGTAAATTGGGCCAATAAGGGCAGTGTATGATAAAAGGGACAAAATTGGTTTACCAATTTGTTTATTTGTATATTAATACATGGCAATGTCATGAATTGACATTTTGGTTGCCACCATTTTTACAGGACACATTGTGTAGGAGTAGTTCGTTGGAATCAAGGATCAGAAATGCCACCAAGGAAGCTCTCAAAGAGGCACAAATGGGAGGAGGGTTTTGTGTTTGCCGGAGACCGGTGGCGGGTGGTTGCCGGAGTTGCCTGGTGAGGGAGATATGCGGCCGCCTTCAAAAGGCCAGTTTCAACAGTGCAATTTGCAAATCCAAGTGGAAGAGTTCTCCAGACATCCCCTCAGGTACTCTAAATGTATAAGTATTTTGACAAAATCAAGACAGAAAACATGAAAACATGATAAGGATATATCAATTAGGTTCTTAAATAAAAATTGAAGTCAAGAATAAGAGAATATATTTTTTATTTTTTTTAATTTGGCACATCGAATTCATGATTTAGATTTGAATAATCCATTTCTTTTGGTTACAAATTATCTTTTAGACTTATTTTTGTCTTTAAGAATTTTTTAAGTTTGAGTCACAATATTTTACTTTTTAAGTCTGTTTAGGGTAGACGATCTTAAAAATAAAAATATATATAAAGTGAGTAAATTTATATATATATATATATTTTTTCTAGGTGATCTAGTGTACACAACTTTAAAAAGTAAAAAAAATTGACATTTTTGTAAAAACTTCACTAAAAACGGAAACAAGTCCCCCCCCTCCCAAAAAAAAAAAAATCTATACTATGATGATGAACAGCTTTCCTTACATGTTAGCTGTCTGTTTCAGCTATTTTTGGAAGGGGAAAAAAAAATTTAAAAGCAACTTACTTTCTAGCAAGTAAAAAAAGTTATTTTCAAAATTTTGAAAATATCTATGCATTAAAAATGAAAATGATCTATAGTTTTGATCCTTTTATTATTTTTGTTTTCGAAAACACAAAAAAACCAGACATGCTATTATTCCTAGTTGAACTTAGTTAATCTAACCTGTGAAAATTTAATTTTTTTACATATATGCAGGTGAACACACATTTCTGGATGTTGTGGACAACTCAAATTCAAAGAATCAAGAGATCAGAGTGATAATTGAGCTAAATTTCCGAGCCGAGTTCGAGGTTGCAAGAGCAAGTGAAGAGTACAACAAGCTCATTAGAAAACTACCAGAGGTGTTTGTTGGGAAAGTTGAAAGACTACACAACTTAATCAAGGTCTTGTGTTGTGCAGCCAAGAAGTGCATGAAAGAGAACAAAATGCACATGGGTCCATGGAGGAAGTATAGGTATATGCAAGCAAAGTGGCTCGGCACGTGTGAAAGGACAACGTGGACACCGCCCTTGTCGACAGTGTGCCCTGGCAGTGCACCTAGGCCACGGAGGGCGTCCATGTTGACAGTAGATTTGTTGGAGAACTTGCCCAACTTGCACCGGACGGCTGTTCAAGTTTTGTGATTGGAGATCATGGTTTTAAATATCACTTGACGTATGACTGGTTCTGATTCGTAGCGGTTTAGAGTCGATTCAGAGCTGATAAAGGCTAGTTTAGTTGTTATACAATTAAAGCTTTTTTTGCTATTGATGGTTTTAAAAAATTTACAATGGTGAGGTTTTGCTTATTCTCTTGTTTGTGTACTACGGATAGGTACGTATATAGAGTTGTGAGTGTATCATCAGATGTGAACAGAAAATAATCATAACATTTTGCTGGTGGATTTGAACAAGATTTGTGTCAAGTTGCTTATATTTGAGTTTTTGGCTCATGAGATGAGACCTGTCAGATAGTCCACGTGACCAGCTTATGATCTCATCTGAGCCACGCCCGTTGGGTAGGCCTTGAGTTTAAAGTTTTGACTTGTAGCTTGGCTTGTTAAGAAAAAAGACTGTTGTGCATGCAAAATTATTTAATAATCTCAGAATACTACGTAATCATATTCCAAATCAATCACTAATTATTTAATTCTATATTGTTCTCCCATCCTAATATAAATCATGAGCACCTACACCTCTCTACCAATCAAAATCTTATGGAACACTACGTGTCCATATTTCGAAAATACTAAATAATCACCCGTTGTGCATAGCCTGCTGATGGACCTTTTTTTTTATGACTAGATGTTTGGATCAACTTATATGCACCTCAACTAATTTTAGGACTCACGCAAAACATTCCCTCTACATGGGTCAGGTAAGTCTCCGGCAACATTCCCTCTACATGGGTCAGGTAAGTCTCCGGCAGAGTCTGCGAGCGTAACTTCAAGGAATTGATAATATCTAGAAGGAGTTGAATTTGAGGCTTGGAGAGAGTACACCCTCCGGCCAAGCTGCACCCACTAGGCCAACTGCTTAAGGTTTTCTGCAGACGGACTTGGTAACCATTTTGCAGGCCAACCTGGCCTGATGCCGACCATTTGGGGCAGGGGTGAGGGCTGGTTGGGTTGCCATCCTTATCTTTTTTTATTTTTTTATCAATCCATCAACAAAAATAAAGTACAACAATGATGAGAATTGGACACAAGATTACGCTCATTTGGTGCCTGGAAAGTGGCTCAATTTGTTGGTAGAAGTAAACTAAAGTTTTTCTTTTAACTGTAAAAAAGAATATTATTGATAAAGATTCGAGTACATAACAATAGATGTATATTAATAAATGAGGTGAGTGTAAAGAGTATCATAGTAATATTAAACAATCTCAATTAGGTTGACACGACGAAACAAGTACAATCATATACTAGCACAACACCAAGTTGGTGAGAAACTAACCAAACAAACGGCCAAAACAATATTTAATGAAAACAAAGTAACAGTAAGGGCAGAACTAAATTAAAGTTAATGGAAGGTATGTCATGCTCGCAATAAAATTAAAGTAAGATAATATTTGAATAATACCAATTATACATTCTAAAACTATATCGTTTTGTTTTAACTCTAAATTTTGACTGGTGAATTATCACAATAAGATTATTGCAAAGAGAACCACAACTGTGGATATTAATCCGTAAATGGGGTTGCAAGTTATTGAGGCTAGCCAATGATTAATTGAATTTAACAAAAATCGGGAGAAAATTTACACATCCAAAAAACATACTATAAAAATATTCAGAATTTACAATCTAAAATCAATATTCATTCATGAATTAGCCTCACAACGATTAAATCTAGGGTTACATTTAAAATTCTGAATAATTTTTTGATTTTTCTTTCCGGGTTCATAAATTTCCTGATGGTGACATCTTTGTGAATGTAAACAAAATTGTAATCTTGTACTTGGACTGGTCCAACATGTCAAAACACAACATTACTATGCTGCAATATATAGCTGCTGAGACAAGTGGCGGCCAGATTAAAGTGAATTTCGGTGGTTAATACAATGCTACTCACCTTGGTTTCTCCATTATAATTGTCCAATCTATGTAGTGATCAACTACAAAATGAAGTTCTCCAAACTTCATAGCACATCAACAGAACTTAAAAATAATTGAATTCAATCAAACATGGCAGAGAAGGAAGGAGGAATCGTCAAGAAGGGCCATGAAGAGGGCATGAAATTGGCAGTCTCTCTGCTTGAAGAGTTTGGACTTCCCTTGGGGCTTCTACCTCTGGCTGATGTGATCGAAGTAGGGTTTGTGAGGAGCACAGGGTACATGTGGATCGTGCAAAACAAGAAAGTCGAGCACAACTTCAAGATGGTCGGCAAGTTAGTGAGTTATAGCGATGAAATAACCGGTTATGTTGAGAAGAAGCGGATCAAGAAGCTCAAGGGAGTGAAGGCTAAGGAGCTCATGTTATGGCCTCCGGTGAGCGATATCATCGTGGATGATCCGGCTACCAGAAAAGTTCACTTCAAGAGCTTGGCTGGAATCACCAAAACTTTCCCAGTTGAGGCATTTGCTGCTGGCCAGTAAAGAGTAGTAATACGTATCGAGATTTTAAAATTTTGATACCAATAAATTAATCATCTGATATCTGGTGATATATGGCTGTATCGCCAATACTCATACATTTTTCATTTGTGTCATTTAAATTGCAGCTTCTTGATCAGTAGTCCATATGGTCTACCCAAAAAGTTCTATGTATTGGTATTTTTATATAATATATTTGTCTCCCTTATTTACTTGTTCTTCCATTTAAGTGCTTAATATTTTGAGTAATGTAAGTGAGAAAGCAGCATGTATTGTTGCTGGGGGGAAAGGACATCATACAATGCCACAAACTGGTTGGATTAAAATATGATAGAAAGGGAAAGGATGCTGGGACGTACTTGTATCTAGTTTTGAAAAAAAAAAAAAAAAAACACTTGCAATGGTGTAGACATCCTATTTTGACCGCCCTTAAGACTTGGGTGTCTCTCTCTGAACACTCGATGATGAAATGTTACGTTGTGCAATCGTTCAATTCTTCAGCAAAATGATTCTATTTCAAGCTTTAAAACCTAAACCTTGCGCATCTTTTGGACAAAAACCTTATTTTTTTTTTAGCCCAATCACTCAGAGAACTGCTGGCCAACAAATAGCCATCAGACCATTTTCATTTGGTTGGCCGTACCTCCTCATGGTCGGTCGGCCATGTTTAGCGTAGCAGATATTTTGACAGCTGTCACTTTCTCACATGCACATGCTTTGGACCAGTTGTCTTTGATACAGATATTTCCGACATGAGAACCTGTTTTTCTATAAATACAACACCCCCCTTATGGTTTAGGGTTAGAAAAATTCCCTAACAGCCCAAAGCCTTAACCAACCATCTTCTCTACCCTCTTGCAATATACATACACAATACATACACCTTATAAGCTTAAACTTGAAGCTTTTGCTAAGGTTCTTAAAGATAATTTCAGACTCTAGAGAGTGCTTAGCTTGTGGTTTGTGAACTAAGAAGAACATTCTCTCTTTCAAGAGGTGATATTTGAACTCTTCAACCATCTTTTCTCTCTTTTTCTTGTATTTTCATACTGATTTCAGGGTGTTTTTAAGGCTTGAAATATGTGATTTAAACCTCACAAAAAGAGAAGGGGTTAGTCACCATTTCTTAGGCCTTGTTCCATAGCTTGTTGCTTTGCCTTTTCTACTTTGTTTCTTTTGATTTTGGCCACTGTTTTTTTTTTTGAGTTTAGGGCCTGTTTAATGTGTCTATTTAATTTATACTTTGAATATCATACTTGTGTTGTTGTAAGTCTTCATGGGTTTGGTGTATAGGCCATTACCACCAATTCATTTGAGTTGATAGTTTTCCTTTCCATATCATTCATGCATATATTCATGTTATTGTAATCATCCACTTTTCATTCACACTCTACAACCTACCTCATTTCTCTGTTTATTTTGATTGAGGATTGTATCAACCAAAAGATTTTTGCTTATGGCATAAGAAAGGGGTTTCATGTGCTAAATGGTTTAACTTCTTCGGAGGTTCATTATCAGGGCATCACATCTTTCTACTACAAGAATTTTCACTTTTGGCGACTAAATTTTTAGTCACCAAAAGTCACTATTTAGTAGTCGAAGGCTTTTAGCGACAAAAATATTTGGTCACAGAATTAGTCAGGAAAGATCATTGGCGACTAAAATTATTTTAGACGCCAAGTGTACTACATTGCCGACCAAGTTTTTAGTCGCCAAAAGGTTTGAAGTAAAATTAAATATCATATTTTTGGAAACTAATTTTTTTGTCGCTAAAAGTTCAATTATTTTTAGCGACTAATCATTTAGTAGCGGAAAAGAGTTTTAGCTACTAAATATATTAGTGACCTAAAGTAAATAACAATGTTTTGGCTATTAAGATTTTAGTCGCCTAAAGTCAATTTTTTTTTTCCCCTACTAAAGGTTTAGTCACCTAAAGTATTATGTTTTTAGCTACTAAGATTTTAGTCGGCTAACATTTTGTGTTTTGGCTACTAAACATTTGGTCGCCTAAAGTCTCATAACTTTTTGCTACTAAAGTTTTAGTTTTTTTTAGCTACTAACAATTTAGTCGCCAAAAACATGCTCTTATGTTTCATCGCAAAATTATAATTTATTCACAACATGTCTGTATTCCATGCAACCTGTAATACGTATATAAACAAAACAATACATATATTATCCATCATTTCACAACGTAAAATTATCAATCATGCCACGGTCCATATTTCTTCCAACCATCCAAGAATGAATAACTTTAAATGTATATATTCCATACAAACCAACTATTGTCCAAACTAAAATTATATTTCCATACAAAAATTCAACCCGCCATATACAAGAAATATATTTACTACCATGCGATATGGCCATTTGGCGTGGTACAACTTACCATCGTAATCTATACCACGACAAAAGGTGATCTATATGCTACGCCAGCAACTAACAGTTGGATTACAAAAGTTTTATGTATTAGTAATGCTAATATTCACAAAAGCAGAGGAAGACATAGTTAGCAGGATTATACAAAAGTGTCAAGTGTCCTCCATAAACAAAAATGTAGACTATCCACAAGTCTATGCCAAAAGCCATCTACAAAAAATAAAAAAAACAATTGTACCCATTACAAAATATCAATTCATTCAAACATAGAAAAAAGGTTGTAATAGCATGCATTTAAGGTAGAACAATCTATAAAAACCTTTTTTCGAAATATAATCATATGTATGTATCATGAAAGATTTATTCCAAACTTGATTTCAATTTTCAAATAATACAATTTTTAGGAGCATACCTCTTCATAAATTAAATTTTTATGAGTAGAACGTTTTGGTGGTAAATTTAT